TTTTCTTTGCAGCTCATGGTGCACGTCTGAAAAAGAAAAATAACAAGGTTGCTTATTTTGCATATTTTTTTCTTACTTCTTAGTTTTATAGAACAACTTTTGTAAGTGTTTTTTCTTTTACTTTTGATTATTGTGCTATTTTTATTTCATTGAAGGTAAATCATCATTTCCAAAGTGCTAAATCGGTTATTTGATGTCTAACTCATAACTTTTCGTTATTTCAGCTTTTTAAGAAATCGTTTACCTATATAATGATATATAGAGGATATTCACATGGACGCGCGGAGATACATATTTTATCTTCGAGTGTTGAAAAGATCTTTCAACACGAGAAGATAAAATTCGTATCTCCAAGCGACCATGTAATATTCTATTTATCATATATTTATATATGAAAGTAAATTACGTTTTAAAATAACTTTTATTTACCTCCAATATATTGAGAAACCACGAAAGTGTTATTTTTACTAGTAAAGATACATGTTATTTTCACTATTGAAAATAACAACTTTACGTAATGGAGAAACATAGGTATATCATAGATATAATTACATGATAAATATAGGTATTTCATAGATAACTACATGATAAATTCGGATGACATATTATGCAAGTAATTAGAGAAGGTTTGGTTGATTTCTTTGCTACCTGTCTAATATGTTTCTTTGTTTATTTGAAAATCAATAAATTTTCAAACATGAATCAACTGACCTCAACACCGGCTGCACATGTCATCTCTTGGCAGCCTCCTCCATCGCACTTCAMGTCACAGTTCTTTGCACTACAAGTCATCTTGGCACACTTGCCTCCAGGGCAGCTCTGTGTGCAATTTGTACCTGGACCGCAGCTCATCATTGGACAGTTTCCATCCACGCAATTGCTCTTACAGTCCTTAGCTTTGCARTCCATGCTACACTTTCCTTCAGCTTTTGAGCATTGCTGTTCGCAGGAGACTGAATTGGGATTTGWACATTTGAGGTTGCAGTCTTTGCCGGTGCAAGTTTGCCTGTCGCAGCTCGTTGAACTGCATGTGGCATTACAGCTTCCAATGCAGCTCTGCTTGCAGTTTTTCGACGCTGGCTTGCACTCTAAATTGCAATCATTTCCATTGCAYGATTGTTCACACATTTCTGATGAGCAGGCAATRTTTTTGCATCCCTTAGCGCATATTTGAGTACAGTTGCTGCCACTATCGCACGACATAGAAGGACATTGTCCATGTGAGCACGTACTCTCGCAATTCTTTGCTTTGCAAAGCAATGAACATCCTCCTTTTGTGCAGCTCTGTGAGCATTCYGATGTACCTTCATTAGTACATCGTAGCTGGCASCCTCCGCTCTGGCATTCTTGGTTGCATGAGCCACTAGACATGCAATGCATATCATTGCAGCGGTGTACAGAGCAAGTTTGATCAGCATTTACACCCATTGCAGAGAGACTAGCACAGTTACCCTTTTCACAATGCTGGTTGCACGATTTAGAGTTGCACTCTATTGAGCTGCAATTGCTKGAGCAAGATTGCACACACGAAACATCACTTGTGCAATCGAGCATTTTACAGTGCCCAGACATGCATCGTTGACTGCATTCCTTTGGATTGCTRCATTTGAGCAACGGACATGGCTTCATGACGTTGGGTAGATTGGTGCAAAGCTGGTCACAGACATCATTTTTAGTGGCGTTGCTGCCGCATTSAAACGTGCAATTGCCTTTTAAACAAACTTGTAAAGTACTGTTCCCAATGGCTTGGACACACTGCTCAGCCGCGGAACTCGGAGCTTTGACTTTGGGAAAGAAAAACACTGCGATTACAGCACAATGAAGTACGAACAGCATCATCTGCAATAKAATAAATAAGTCAGACACAACATAAGTCTACTTTGCKCGAGAAATGGTCTTTTTTCTATGTTATTGCCTGATAAAAACTTAGATGGAGGATTGTTTTTGTAAAACTGAACTGCGAGGAAGAAGTTTCTTTGCGAAATGTTAARTTTTCAGTTGCTCTGATCGGTGTCATGTCAACATCATTTCCTAACCATTTCCCATCAACGATAACAGAAAGATACAGTAAAAATCTGCACATTTACTCATGTTCTTATGATATTTCCGAGTCTATCCCACATGGCCTAGTGCCTCTGAATCTCAAGTCAATCAAAGAATCAAGTCCCTTCGTCCCTTATAAGACTGCAGATATATTAAGGTTGTCCTTCTCTTCCCAGTCTCTATCTTTCAACTTCCCCYGAGGGTCTGTTACCAAGGGTAACACAAATAGGAGCTCAGCAGGCYTGTGACACGCAAACGCGCAACGTCACGCGAGCTGCATATCACAGTTATAAGTTATAAGTCTTCGATGTACGATTAGATGTGGAAATAATTATCATTTCAAGCAATATAACAACCTTCCGCTTTGTCAATAGAATTGGCATGGCGCGATAATCGACTTGTGTGAAAAAATAGGTAACGGTTGTAATGGTAAAAATGCTGAACATGTTAAGTGTGCCCATACCGTGACCTTAAACCAAATGAATATCATATTGATTTCGACGCATTGGATAAAACAAACAAAACAGCAAACAAGTCGACACAACAGTAAAGATAGTGAAAAGGCGCGTTTGTTTTAATATACAGCAAGGTCCACGAAAACACTGTTATATTCAAGGATCTTCAAATCTTGTCAGCAAAAGCGTTTGCTTGCACATCATGCTCTTTTCGTCACCTAGTTCTATGACAAAACGGTTACTGTTTGTAACAAGGACATCTCAGTAAGCAACAAGCATTGGAAATGCTTTCACCGATGTCATTTAGCTGCTTTTTCATCGACTCAATTTCATCGGCGGCAAATCATAGGGGGTCATAAACCAACAAACCTTAAAATTTTAATTAAACTAACTTTCAAATAAGTAAAAAGGTTGCAACTCACCTTAAACTCGACAGAAAACAACTTGCTCATCTTCTGTAATGGCTAAACAACGAGAATCGAGTCTTTCCTTGGTCAAGACAATGAATTCTGAGAAGTCGCGCGATATCAATACCGTTGATATGAATGTTATGATTGGATGACTTTAAACAATAGYTCCCTCAGTGTTTACACCTGATAACCACCAGATATGCAAAAACTATTTTGATCATTAAACGTTACCCAAACCTAACCGAAAACCTAACCTASCGCTAACCAAGAAATGTTCTTAGTACTTTTATATTTTTTTCTTTTAAAAACGAGTTTTTTCTCTTCCGCTAGTTATCCGGGTAATAACTATGTAGATACTCGCATTTCGGATAAAATGCTGACTTTGTTAACTKAATTTCATTAATTAGAATCAATCAGCGCGACTTTCCGTTGAAGAAATAAACAAAAATACGACCTCTTTTTAAAGAAATGTTTCTAGCAAATCTCAAATTTCTTAAGAAAAGTGCTTGAAGTTTGAAGTTTGAAGTTTATCGAATTATGCTAATAGATGCGGATAGTGATTTAGTTTCGACAGCGGGATACCTAAATATGCAATATCTGTAGAATATTTAAATATTTAAACATTTTCTTCATTTTGGAAAAAATGTATGTCAAAAAAGCCATATAATCTTTCTTTTCATTCGAATTATCACAAAAGGTGCTTCCTATAACATTTTATTTTATCACAAATTATATATAAATTCCTTTCAAATATGCAATTTAAAAGAAATCCGACATTCCTTCTTCTAGGAATCGTTTATAAATACTCATGAACTTAGCTACAAAGGCCTCTAAGTGGTAGATGGCTTTATTTCCCAGCAAAATCCTATGTTCGTAGTAAGCTGCGAGATTGGTCACTTCAGCCTTCAGTGAACCATCACAGTTCGTGACAAGTTCTGAAATCAATCCCTGAAAAATGAAAAAATATAATTAAAATAACTTAAAAATCATTATAATTTGAGTGTCCAAAGGCCGTTTGACGTAAAGTTGCGATTAAAGTCAACACAATTTTTAACCCCAAAAAGCTTAAAAGAGACTATTTTTTCTTAAAAATAAATTAATTAGTACTCTACTAATATCAATATGTCCAATGAAGCGCCCACTTTGAATGCCAAAGATTCTTATAATGTATAACTTTGTTGCTTTTTCTGATGAACTTAAAATAAACTTTGCATAGGTATTTGAATATTAACGGCTTTTCGCGGTGGTATTGCACCAAAGCAAGTCAGAAGCCAACGGTTTCCCGGGAGAAATAAATCTGTTCTTATGTACCAGCCAATTCAAAAAGAACTCTCCAGGCAAGGAATACTTTCTAAGAATTATTGCCAGGAAAATAAAGATTTCCTAGCTTAAAGTGCACATGACACCTTTCAGAAAAACACTTTTATCCGAAAGTTTACACGCTGCCAACTACTTCTGCGGAAAAAGAAATAGATTTTGAATTGTATTTTCTGAGTTATAGACATTTGAAAATTGAAAAAGCAAATGAAGTGACGTCAACTAAGGAATTGATCCGTCTTTTTACATTGTTTGCGCTATGCTGTTCTTGGTTGAAGAGTACAAATCATCAATCATAGTAATAATTGAGAGCTGAAAACGTTCTCTTTCATGATTTTGTATATTAAATCATTCCTTAGTAGACGTCACTTCATTTGCATTTTCTAAGTTTTAATCGCCCATAACTTACAAAATACAATTTGAAATCAATTTCTTTCTTCACAGATGAACTTAGCAGTATTTTCTCTTTTGGATGAGAGTGAATTTCTAATGGTGTCATGTGCACTTTAAAACTGAAAATACAAGCCGTTTTTGACCATAAAAACTTTGTCAGGAAAAAATTGTTTTAATTGTACATTCCGATTTCCGTTATTTTCTTGTTCATTACCTTCAGAATAATGTCTGGTGGAATACAATGAATCAGGAGTTCATAAAGACGAGCTCTTATTTCGAGCAACCTGTTTAAAACAAAGAATGTAAACTTTTAAAATTGCTTATAAACCTTTAGTCTCCTCACATCCGTTCTTAGTGACGGGCTTCCTGTCCCCCGCTTGCTCGCAAGTAAGAATGGCTGCGAGGAGACTAATAACCACTTATAAATACACATGATTCACCACCATATTAGGGCCTATTATACAAATGAGAGGATAAATAATTTTGCATTAATCCTATCTGGGTTATGGGTTGATATGGTAGATGGTGGTATGCACTCTTTATACTGTCTGCAGTATACTGATATCTTATTCACCAGTC